AAAGGTGTGCTCGTCCGGGATTTGAACCTGGGACCTCTCGCACCCTAAGCAAGAGTCATACCCCTAGACCAACGAGCCATGGAACCTGGGTTTTATTTGGTGTGCAAAGTGGAAACAAAACTACAGATGCAACAAGGGTGAAAAATGTATTTGTTGAACCATGAGGAAAGCTGGGCTCATCCGGGATTTGAACCCAGGACCTCTCGCACCCAAAGCGAGAATCATACCCCTAGACCACCAGCCATGAAACCTGAGTTTTATTTGGTGTGCAAAGTGGAAACAAAACTACAGACGCAACAAGGGTTGTATATCTATTTGTTGACCCATGAGGAAAGCCGCGCTCATCCGGGAATAGAACCCGGGACCTCTCGCACCCAAAGCGAGAATCATACCCCTAGACCAACGAGCCATGTAACCTGGGTTTTATTTGGTGTGTAAAGTGGAAACAAAACTACAGATGCAACAAGGGTGGAAAATGTATTTGTTGAACCATGAGGAAAGCTGGGCTCATCCGAGATTTGAACCCAGGACCTCTTGCACCCAAAGCAAGAATCATACACCTAGACCAACGAGCCATGGTGTATGAGTTTTAGTTGGTGTGCAAAGTGGAAAGAAAACATGGTGTATGGGTTTTATTTGATGTGCCAAAGTGGAAACAAAACTACAGATGCAACAAGGTTGGAAAATTTAGTTGTTGAACCATAATTAAAGCTGGGCTCAACAAGGATTTGAACCCGGGACCTCTCGCACCTAAAGCGAGAATCATACCCCTAGACCAGCGAGCCATGGAACATGTGTTTTCTTTTGGTGTGCAATGTGGAAACAAAACTACAGATGCAACAAGGTTGGAAAATATAGTTGTTGAACCATAATGAAAGCTGGGCTCGTCCGGGATTTGAACCCGGGACCTCTCGCACCCAAAGCGAGAATCATACCCCTAGACCAACGAGCCATGGAACCTGGGTTTTATTTGGTGTGCAAAGTGGAACCAAAACTACAAATGCAACAAGGGTGGAAAATGTATTTGTTGAACCATGAGGAAAGCTGGGCTCATCCGGGATTTGAACCCGGGACCTCTCGCACTCTAAGCTAGAATTATACCCCTAGACCAACGAGCCATGGAACCTGGGTTTTATTTGGTGTGCAAAGTGGAAACAAAACTACAAATGCAACAAGGGTGGAAAATGTATTTGTTGAACCATGAGGAAAGCTGGGCTCATCCGGGATTTGAACCCGGGACCTCTCACACTCTAAGCAAGAATCATACCCCTAGACCAACGAGCCATGGAACCTAGTTTTTATTTGGTGTGCAAAGTGGAAAGAAAACTACAGATGCAAAAAGAGTGGAAAATTTAGGTGTTAAACCATATTTAAAGATGGGCTCGCCCGGGATTTGAACCCAGGACTTGAACCAGGGACCTCTCGCACTCAAAGCGAGAATCTAGACCAACGAGCCATGGTGTATGGGTTTTATTTGATGTGCCAATGTGGAAACAAAACTACTGATGCAACAAGAGTGGAAAATTTAGTTGTTGAACCATAATGAAAGCTGGGCTCGTCCAGGATTTGAACCCGGGACCTCTCGCACCCGAAGCAAGAATCATACCCCTAGACCAACGAGCCATGGAACATGGGTTTTTTTTTTTTGGTGTGCAATGTGGAAACAAAACTACTGATGCAAAACACATGGAAAATATAGGTGTTGAACCAAAATTAAAGCTGGGCTCGTCCTGGATTTGAACCCGGGACCTTTCGCACCCAAAGCGAGAACCATACCCCTAGAACAACGAGCCATGGAACCTGTGTTTTATTTGGTGTGCAAAGTGGAAACAAAACTACAGATGCAACAAGGGTGGAAAATGTATTTGTTGAACCATGAGGAAAGCTGGGCTCATCCGGGATTTGAACCCGGGACTTCTCGCACCCTAAGCAAGAATCATTCCCCTAGACCAACAAGCCATGGAACCTGGGTTTTATTTGGTGTGCAAAGTGGAAACAAAACTACAGATGCAACAAAGGTGGAAAATGTATTTGTTAAACCATGAGGAAAGCTGGGCTCATCCGGGATTTGAACCCGGGACCTCTCGCACTCTAAGCAAGAATCATACACCTAGACCAACGAGACATGGAGCCTGGGTTTTATATGGTGTGCAAAGTAGAAACAAAACTACAGATGCAACAAGAGTGGAAAATTTAGTTGTTGAACCATAATGCAAGCTGGGCTCGTCCGGGAATTAAACCCGGGACCTCTCGCACCCTAAGCAAGAATCTTACACCTAGACCAATGAGCCATGGTGTATGAGTTTTAGTTGGTGTGCAAAGTGGAAATAAAACTACAGATGCATAAAGAGTGGAAAATTGAGGTGTTAAACCATATTTAAAGATTGCACGCCCGGGATTTGAGCCCGGGCCTTGAACACGGGACCTCTCACACTCAAAGCGAGAATCATATCCCTAGACCAACGAGCCATGTTGTATGGGTTTTATTTGATGTGCCAAAGTGGAAACAAAACTACAGATGCAACATGGTTGGAAAATTTAGTTGTTGAACCATGAGGAAAGCTGGGCTCATCCAGGATTTGAACCCGGGACCTCTCGCACCCAAAGCGAGAATCATACCCCTAGACCAACGAGCCATGGAACACGGGTTTTCTTTTGGTGTGCAATGTGGAAACAAAACTACAGATGCAACAAGGTTGGAAAATTTAGTTGTTGAACCATAATGAAAGCTGGGCTCGTCCGGGATTTGAACCTGGGACCTCTCGCACCCTAAGCAAGAGTCATACCCCTAGACCAACGAGCCATGGAACATGGGTTTTCTTTTGGTGTGCAATTTGGAAACAAAACTACTGTTGCAAAACACATGGAAAATATAGGTGTTGAACCAAAAGTAAAGCTGGGCTCGTCCGGGATTTGAACCCGGGTTGAAATTTGAGGTGTTAAACCATATTCCATGGGCTCGCCCAGGATTTGAGCCTGGGACTTGAACCCGGGACCTCTCGCACTCAAAGCGAGAATCATATCCCTAGACCAACGAGCCATGGTGTATGGGATTTCTTTTGGTGTGCAATGTGGAAACAAAACTACTGATGCAAAACACATGGAAAATATAGGTGTTGAACCAAAATTAAAGCTGGGCTCGTCCGGGATTTGAACCCGGGACCTCTCGCACCCAAAGCGAGAATAAAACCCCTAGACCAACGAGCCATGGAACCTGGGTTTTATTTGGTGTGCAAAGTGGAAACAAAACTACAGAGACAACAAGGGTGGAAAATGTATTTGTTGAACCATGAGGAAAGCTGGGCTCATCCGGGATTTGAACCCGAAACCTCTCGCACCCTAAGCAAGAATCATACCCCTAGACCAACAAGCCATGGCACCTGGGTTTTATTTGGTGTGCAAAGTGGAAAGAAAACTACAGATGCAAAAAGAGTGGAAAATTTAGGTGTTAAACCATATTTAAAGATTGCACGCCCGGGATTTGAACCCTGGACTTGAACCCAGGACCTCTCGCACTCAAAGCGAGAATCATATCCCTAGACCAACGAGCCATGGTGTATGGGTTTTATTTGATGTGCCAAAGTGGAAACAAAACTACAGATGCAACAAGGTTGGAAAATTTAGTTGTTGAACCATAATTAAAGCTGGGCTCAACAAGGATTTGAACCCGGGACCTCTCACACCCAAAGCGAGAATCATACCCCTAGACCAACGAGCCATGGAACATGGGTTTTCTTTTGGTGTGCAATGTGGAAACAAACTACAGATGCAACAAGATTGGAAAATTTAGTTGTTGAACCATAATGAAAGCTGGGCTCGTCCGGGATTTGAACCTGGGACCTCTCGCACCCGAAACAAGAGTCATACCCCTAGACCAACGAGCCATGGAACCTGGGTTTTATTTGGTGTGCAAAGTGGAAACAAAACTACAGATGCAACAAGTGTGGAAAATGTATTTGTTGAACCATGAGCAAAGCTGGGCTCATCCGGGATTTGAACCCGGGACCTCTCGCACCCAAAGCGAGAATCATAACCCTAGACCACCAGCCATGAAACCTGAGTTTTATTTGGTGTGCAAAGTGGAAACAAAACTACAGACGCAACAAGGGTTGTATATCTATTTGTTGACCCATGAGGAAAGCCGCGCTCATCCGGGAATA